ATTCAGAGTATTGGGTTCTTCATCTGTAGAGTAGGGGTGATATTACCCATTCTATTCAGTTTCAGTTTTGACACATAGTAAATACTGAATAAATGTTTGGTCCCCTTCCTCCAACCTCATTGTTCACCTTTTACTGATTTCCACCTATTGTCTGTCTCCCAGACATCAAGAATGTGATGAGTAACTCAAAAAATATCTATTAGGATTTGGGGTGTCAGTAGGAAAGTGTTTTAGGGAAAACAATACCTTTTTGTTACAACTGAAACTACAGCCTACTGGTCCCCATGAACTTTCTTAGTTCCCACATAAGGGATGTGACCATGACACTGAGGACAGTCAATGACAGTGCCATGACAGTGTTTGTCACAACAATAATAACAAAACACAAGGGCTTTGTGTTTGGGAATGGGGAAAATAATGGATGTAGTGAGAGGAGTGAGCTGATAGTCACTTGCGGGAAGCTGAAAAATAAACCCAGAGAAGACCTGGAAAGGACAGACAACCAGATGTCCAACTAGGAAGCAAAAATGTTGGCTGGATCCTGTTTCAAACCACATAATCTGAATTTTTGGAAGAAAGCATTAAAAACAATAAATTACCCCAAATGGCAAAGTTAGGATTCAACTGCCTCAAACTGTAACAACTTAGGCACTTGTAAAAGAGAAATATTCCAGATGGCAAAGTGGAAGGATGAATTATAGGAGAAGGAAGTGGCTAATATCCTGTGCAATACTCTGAAACAATACAAAAAGAGAACCTTCGTGAAGGAACAGGCTGGGGACCCCAGTGTTTCTGGGGGCAGAAATGGAGTGCCATTCAATCAGGGGCAGCTGACCCCACTGGGCAGCCCTGGGTGCCTGGGGCTCAGGCATGATTTCAAATTGTTTTCTGTCTTCCAAGTGATTCTGGAACAAATGGCTCTGGTGGCCTCAGGGGCATGTCTGGAGTGACCACATGAAACTTCCAGGGTTTTGATTTGGCGTGGTCCGTCTGGCTTCACTGCCTCGTTCAGGGTTCAGTGGCCTAGATATGATTTCAAATCTCGGTTCCTTTTCATCTTCTACCTCTATTTATATGAGGACACTCCAGCCATCAAATCAATGGGATTGAATCTGAACAGTAGAACTGGAGGCAGTCCAGGGACTTTGACTTTAGTCCTGTGACTTCTTAAAAGGTAGACCACAGACCAGCGGTCTCATCATCACCTAGAAAATGACAGGAAATGCAGTAACTCTACCAAATCAGAATTCATATTTTAACACAACCATCAGGTGTTTTGTATACATGTTAAGGTTTGAGAAGCAATGTTCTAGACGATTTAATAGGGCAAAAGGATTTAGTAGGTCCATAAAGATTCCTATAACCATCAGAAAGGACATTGCACTTTGAGGTGGTCTAATCTTTCCAATAATGATGCATCTCAAGGAGTCTGCAAGTGTCCTAATAGCACTGCCAAGATTTTGACCCCAGTACTACTAATAAATGCCTTTTAGTTGGAAGTTGGGCCCATAAGCACAAGGACATCTTGTGCTCAGTCTCAGCCTCAGCTACTCCATTCTACTGTTTCTCCTCATTCTCTCATAGAACCATACATCCCCATGGGAAGAAAGTGACAGAATAGAAGAAAGGTGCACAAAACCCTCTATTGGTTTTTTATCACATAAAAAATATCTGGATTCTTCACTATGGCCTTATAAGGCACTTCCTGGTTTGGCACCTGATTACACCTTCCATTTTATCTCTTACCCTCTCTCACTTTGCTCCAGCCACTTTGGCCTTCTTTCTTCCATGAACATACCAAGTTCATTTCCAGTGCTAAGTATTTTCAGTCATTGTTTCCTCTATGGCAGGGGTCACCTACTACCAGGCTGTGGAATGGTACTGGTCCATGCCCTGTTAGGAACCAAGCCACACATCAGGAGGTGAGCGGCAGGTGAGTGAGTGAAACTTCATCTGTATTTACAGTCGCTCCCCATGGCTCACAATATCACCTGAGCTCACCTCCTGTCAGATCAGCAGCAGCATTAGATTCTCATAGGAGTGCAAACCCTACTGTAAACTGCACATGTGAGGGATCTGGGTTGGGTGCTGTTTATGAGAATCTAATGCCTGATTATCTGTCACTGTCTCCCATCACCCCTAGATGGGACCATCTAGTGGCAGGAAAACAAGCCCAGGGCTCCCAATGATTTTGCATTATGGTGAGTTGCATAATTATTTCATTATATGTTACAATGTAATAATAATAGAAAGAAAGTGTGCAATACATGTAATGTGCTGGAATCAACCCAAAACCATCCCCATCCTCGCCCCCATCTGTGGAAAAACTGTCTTCCACAAAACCAGTCCCTGGTGCCAAAAAGGTTGAAGACTACTGCTCACTGCTCTTTGGAAATGATCTCTCTGTCCTTACATCTTATCATTGCTAGGTCTTCGTAATTCAGGTCTCAGCACAAATGCAGTGTTCCTAGAAAGACTAGCGCTGCTACACCATCTAAAATCCCACCCCACCTTAACATCTGTATCACATTATGCTGTATGATGTTCCTCAGGGCACTTAATATTACTTGGTATTCTCTTCTTTATATTTACTGGTTTAATTTCTCTTCCCCATCACATATAATATAAGCTTTATAAGAGCAGGAAAAAGGTTCCTCTTATTGATTGCTATATCCCAAGTGCCCAGAACAGTGCCTGACAGAGCAGTTATTCAAAAGATGTTTACTAGATTTGAGTAAATGATGGGGCTAGGTTAAACTATTGACTTTTGGATTATCTGTGCATTCTTGTGTTTCCTGCTCTAACTATTCTACTTATAATCACAGACAACTCAAAAGGGCTTACATGGTAGAACCTGAGTTAATGATACTTTTGGTCTGGCCCACAGGATTGAGATAGGCCACGCAGAGTTATTTCAGAGCTGTGTGGTATTTCAATCCAAGATTGTTCTGTGAACTATGATGGACTGCCTGCCCATGCACAAGGTACTTTCATATGTAAAGGAGAATATTACAAGCTTTCTGACCTTAAAGGCTTCTCCTTAACTAGGCAGACAGGCAGATAAGCAAATGGTTTTTATATAATATGAAAAGTAAGTTCAAATTATGGATGGACAAAGGAAGAATACAAGTTTAACAAATCGGGGGTGTTAGAGATATTTTCCTAAAGGTAGTGATGTCTGTTTGGAGTTTTAAAGCACACATAGGAGTTTGCTGGAAGCACATACAGGTATTCAAGGGAAACAAAATGGCACACACTAAGTTATAGAGGCAAGAAAGAGCCTGGGGAACTACAATAGTTTGGTAATGCCAGAATGCAAAATGTGCAGTTCAGGCTGGCAGAAGGAAATGAGGCTGGAGTAGGAGCCAACAGGCTTGTAATAATATATGTCCTTGAGGTGCTAGATCCACCATATGTTTGAGGTCAAATACAAATATCTGAAATATCTTTCAGTCCAAAAGAGCCAACAATGAGTTGAGCTGAGAGCATGTTGCAACCTCCAGCCCCCTTTGTACTCCCCTCGGGCACCATGAGCACCGTGCCCAACAATCTCAAAAGCCCCCACATGCTGGACCCATTAGGCACTGCATGCTCCACTGTCTGAGTCATTTCCCCTCTGCCAATGGTGACTGAACCCAGAGGAACTCTCCACTAATTGAATTTGAGATGACTCACTCTAAACTGGGGACTCGAAACTCGGAAACCTCGGTAGCAATACCTTTGGCAGTAAGATTCTTGGGTCATTTTGTCCAGCTCGTTGTCTGGGGAGCCAGTAGGAGCAAGGGGATGTAGTGGGGGTATTTGTAGGGGAGGAAGGTGGGAGGCAGGGACTTTGGGCTTTCTTAGAGACCTGGAAAGGATAAGATCATTCACTGCATGTCATTGTTTGAGCTCCAGCTGGTAGCCAAGAGTTTAAAAAAATGGCATTCGAATATGTTTTGTTTGGCACACCTAGTTTTGTTTACAATATTTGATGCAGTATTTTAAAAATAAGGAGCTTTTACATTACATACTACATTTCTGATTCTATTAAAGCATTGAAAGACCGGGCAACAACCCACTGCAAGTGAAGAATGGATATCCCTGGTACAGGCAGTGTGCTCCTTAGGTTTCCAGAGTCTTCACCCCAATTTTTACATTCTGATGCCTCTGCACTTATATCCAGAATGTTTCACTTGTGTAACATTCAAAGGTCTTTTTGGCCCTATGGCATTTGTGTTCGCAAAGTCTGTTCTGAAGCTACCAATGAGGAGACAAACTCTGATAACAGTTTTGGTAACAGAGGAATGGACCTCAAAGTATTATCTCTTTGGCAAATTTCATCTGCTCAGTGCTCAGGAATTTATTAGAAAATAATGCAATAAAAGGGTGGGCATGAAAGTCACCAATCTCTACCTCCCCTACTTATTCTATTTTGGCAGAACATATAGAATACATACTAAGGCCAGGATTACATGTATTATCTTACATTTCCCATCATAATTGCTTCATGGTATGTACTTAATGGATGCTCATTCAATGCATAGTGAATGGAATGTCATTGCTGGTCCAAGTCTGGGCATCTAATATCCCCTCCCAGGAGACCTAGCACCCACAACACTGCATGGAATGTTTTTTTCTCCATCTGTTCATGTTTCACTGCTCCCCTTCCTTTCATCTGTACTCATCTGCCTGCTCTTCCCCAAAGCTTTCAAGGACTTCCCCAGACTGGCAATAGTAACCTTCTCTTTTCTATTCTTTATCAGTATTTATTTGTTTTTGTTATATAACTTCCCAAGTCTTTGTTTCATTTATGAGAAAATAAATATCTAATTCATAAGACCAATATATGCATTGTGTCTGGAACATGGTGACAATGGTAATTGCATTTATATTTATATACTTACATATTGCTTACTTTATGCCAGGAACGCTTTCAAGTATTTTGCATATGTTGATTTATTTAATCTTTGCAACATTGCTATAAGGTAGGTACTGATGTTATAATCCTCATTTTACAGATAAAGAAGCTGAAGTAGAAACAGATGAAGTAACTTACTCAAGGAACACAGCTAATAAGCTCTAGAGGTAAGCACAGCTAATAAGCCTTTAAACCCAGTAAGCTGGACCCAGAGTCTACGGCTCCACCCACTAAGTAAAACTGCCTCTCTTCTGAAGTGAGGTCTACACGTATGGTAGTATGGTAGTATCCTTTGGGTTAGAGATTGCAAATTGTCCTTCAATATCCATTCTCACCAGTGCTATTTTGTATTTTTAATCACACACAGCCTAATTGAATCCTACTTGCTTTGTTGTTGTTGTTATTGTTTGAGATGGAGTCTCGCTCTGTTGCCCAGGCTGGAGTTCAGTGGCTGTATCTCGGCTCTCTGAAACCTCTGACTCCCAGGTTCAAGTGATTCTCCTGCCTCAGCCTCCCGAGTAGCTGGGATTAAAGGCACCTGCCATCATACCCAGCTAATTTTTGTATTTTTGTAGAGATGAGGTTTCACCATGTTGGCCAGTCTGGTCTTGAACTCCTGACCTCAGGTGATCCGCCAACCTTGGCCTCCCAAAGTGCTGGGATTACAGGCGTGTAATCACCATCACGCCTGGTCAAATCCTATTTGCTTTAAAAGCATGATTTGACTAGCAGAAGAGAAAGGCTGAAAAGAGAAGTCTCCAATAATAGAACGAGTAGAGTAAAGCCTTAGAGGTGGGATCCTCTGTCCTTCCTTCTCCTCTTTGAAAAACAGCTTTGTCAGCAGATCCTTCCTGAGAGTTCTTGACCTTTCAAAAATATCATAGATCCAACACAGATGAGTAACTTCCCTGAGGCCAAGTCGCTTGAAACTATCTGAATACAAATGGCACTGGTTTTCCATTTCATCAGTTTTCAGATAGTACGAATTCTAGCACTAACTTACTGAACATGTTTGGTACACACTCTCTTGTTTGTCCTTAGTTTCTCCATCTGTAAAATGAAGGACTGGAAGAGACCACGAATGGCAAACAGGCTTGCTTTTGCAGGCCATACTCAATCGATTAGTTATATTTGCTGGGTGTACTGCATCCCATAAGCAGAATTTGACCAGAAATGTCTGCCATTGGAGAGAAACGTGTGTCAGCATATTTGCCTCCCTAGGTTAGATGATTCTCCAGGCTTCTAAACAATTTTATGCTTATATGAAAACAGCCACAAAGGGAAAAGAGGACAATAAAACAAGATATATGAATAATGATGTATTGTATACTTGAAATTTACTAAAAGAGTAGATCTCAAGTGTTCTACATACACACACACAAAGGTAACTAATGAGATGATAGGTATTAATTAACTTGATTGTGGTCATAATTTCATAATGTATACATATAAAAACATCATGTTTTATAACCTACATTTATATAATTTCTCAACTATACATCAATAAACCTGGAAAAATAAAGATGTATAAAAAAGATTTACAAATAAGATTTTTAAAAAAGGATTGTGAGGAAACAAAGTATGACAGTAGAATTACCATTTTTACTAGAGGCAGTAAAGAGTAGAATTAATATTACAGAAAATCAAATCAATAATAGAGTTGACAAGTACAAAATTTTAATGCAGAGAAAAAGAGCAAAGTGTGAAGTTGGGGGCCGGGCACAGCAGCTTGCCTGTAATTCCAATACTTTGGTAGATCACCTGAGGTCAAGACCAGCCTGGACAACGTGGTGAAACCCTATCTCTACAAAACGCAAAAATTAGCTGGGCATGATGGCAGGTGCCTGTAATCCCAGCTACTCATGAAGCTGAGGCAGGAGAATCACTTGAACCCAGGAGACAGAGGTTGCAGTGAGCCAAGATCACCCCATTGCACTCCAGCCTGGGAGACAGGTGAGACTCTGTCTCAAAAAGCAACAACAACTATAACAGAAACAAAGTATGAAGTGGGGCAGAAGGGAGATGGATGTGGTTATAAAAAAGCAGCACGGGTGATATTTGTGGAGATAAAACTGTCTTGACTGTGGTGGCCTATACATGGACCAACATATGTAATAAAGTTACACATAACTAAGTATTACACCAAGTAGTACATATGCTTTCACGCACTCTCACCCAGATACTCATACCCACACCAGTACAAGTAAAACAGAAAATCTGAATAAGATTAGTGGATCATGTAAATGTAAACATCCTGGTTGTGATGCTGTACTATATTTTGGCAAGATATTACTCTGAGAAACCTGAGCAAAGGGTACATGGGATGTGTATGTATCACACCTTACAATTACAGTGTGAATCTACAATGCATATCTACAATGATCTCAAAATTTAAAAATTAACAAAGAGAGAATAAAGTCATAAAGACATAAAGAGAGAATTGGAGACAAGAGATTAGAGATTCAAGGTATGAACAAAGAGTGCTGTAAAATGGAGCTAGAAGCAATGGTCAAAGGTAAAAATAGACTTAAATGTTTCTGTGCTGAAAAAAATGTCAATATTCAAGGATTGAAAAGACTCACTAGAATCTACGCATAATGAAAGAAAAGAAATTGATCCTTAAACACACTGAGTCAAACTTTCTGTATTATGGGGATTGCAGACAAAAATGACAACCAGAGAAAATAGCCAAGAACCAAGAGCCCGTGGGCAGCGCTGGGGGCTACACTGGAATCTCGTAGCCAGTGGTATTGATGGACCCCTTTACTACATCAGTTGTTTTAGGGAATTCTTTCCTCCTTAAAGCTCTGGACTGGTGACAAACCTGAAAAAGATGCTGAATCACAGGTATTGCATGAGAAACATTTGTACTGAGAGGGAGATTGGATAAATTTCCCTAAATCATTTCTGAATGATTTCTTACCATTCATAAATAATTTCTTTAAAAATGACAAAGGTATCCAGGCTGGCATGGGGTTTAACGAAAAAAAAAAAATGAAGATGACTTTTATAGTTCCTAGTTAGATATGGATCTAGGTACAAAGCAAATTCAATCATTCCTGTACTTTTCCTCAAAAACATTTTTAATCTTGGCCAGGCACTGTGGCTCATGCCTGTAATCCCAGCACTTTGGGAGGCTGAGGCAGGTGGAACACTTGAGATCAGGAGTTCGAGACCAGCCTGGTCATCATGGTGAAACCTCATCTCCACTAAAAATACAAAAACTACCTTGGCGTGGTGCCACGCACCTGTAATCCCAGCTACTCAAGAGGCTGACGCATGAGAATTGCTTAAACCTGGGAGGCAGAGGCTGCAATGAGCCTAGATCATGCCACTGCACTCCAGCCTGTGCAGCAGAACGTAAAACAAATAACATAAAACAAACAAACAACATAAAAAACCATTTTTAACCTTAATGCAGGGTACTTCATCAATATACATTGATGGACACTTAGTAGGTACAAGGCACTAGAAATAGACAAAAGTATTCAATCAGACATGCCCCCATCCTGAACAGCCCATTACAGATGTGCACAAAAACCAGTAAGAAAAACTATGAGTTATTGAGTGTTATTTGCATTCTAGACACTATATACATATTTTATATATTATTTAATTTACTTATCCCAATAATTCCTTTGAAGGCAGAATTGGTATTTTACTTTATGTTTGTGTGACCCAATATGTGCTTTTTTACTGCCTACCATTTCTCAAGATGAAGGTCAAATCATACAGCCATTATGACATATTCTCTACACATGTACCTATTCATCATTCATTCATTCAACAAATACTTACTGACATCATATACGTACCAGGCTCTCTGCTAGGTTCTGGGATAAATGATGAGAAAACAAGAGAGGAATCCATTCTCAAGGAGTTACAAGTGTAATGGAGGAAACTGGTATTAATCAAATAATCAAATGCATGTAGAACTGTATGTGTCCATAGCAAGGGCTAAGAAGGAAAGAGACATGTTGCTTTGAGGCCCTGTAAGGAACAGATTTGACCTGGGCAGAGACTCAGGGAAGGTTTCTCCAAGGAAGTGAACCCCACTGGAAGAAAGGCACTCCAGGAAAGGGAAACAGCATGAGCAAAATCTATGTGGTGGGAACGAGCATGAAAGGACCACTGTAGTGGGAGTAAAGATGTGTGCTGAAAGATGAGAATGGAAACTAGCAAGATCCAGGGCATGCCAGGGCTTGTGGCCCCCGTAAGGAGATTGCCTTAATCTGAAGAACAAAAGGAAGTCATGGGAAGGGTTCAGGAAAAAAGTGGTAGTGAATTTTCAGTGTTTGTATTGCCTTATATAAGTCAAAGCTGTTCACGCATACATCTCGATTATGTTCTGTCTTACACTATTTCTTGTGACACCAAATGACACAATCTCATTTTCCAAATTAGATGGGAGACTCCCTAAAGGTTGGGGGTACTCCTAAAACCAAATTTTTCTTGGGTTTAAGGCTCCCAAGTAAGAAGTATGTTTGTTGTTATATTCTACTAAAAAAGAGAAAATGCTGCCAATTAGACATGCCATCAAATGGAAATAGCATCTCTATTTTGGAGATTCAAAAATGTGAAATAATGTGCATTTCTAGCTCAATGAAATATTATATATATTTTTGGTTCCCTCATAATGTCTAGGACAGAGCTGAGCTTGTCATAAGTGGAATGAGAAAAGTACCAGACTTCAAATGAGAAGACTGAGCTGGCAGCCTGGTTCTGACATATACCTGGACAAGAATGACTTAATTGTTTTGGGACCCAATCCATTCCTCTGTAAAATGGCCATATGACCCCTGAGGGTTGCCCAGCTCTGCTTCTTCTCCATGCAATAGCTGCCTGACAATTATCTCTAGCAAGATGTCTTTGAGGCCTTTCTTTGCTGGAGAGAACTCCTGCAGGAAGCTGCAGTACTCCCTGATTCTTCTCCAGGTAGGAAGTACTGAGGAATGTGCCTGGAGGGCACACAGTCCCAAATTAGAGACAGAAAACTGAAAGCTCAAGAAATCTATTGACCAAGGAAAGTTTGTGCAGGTCTGATGTTAACCAGAAGTTGGGAGCAAGGCATGAGTTGTATTATGGATAGAACTGTGTCCCCCACAAAATATATTATTAAAGTCCTCACCTCCAGTATTTGTGAATGAAACTTATTTGGAAATACGGT